ACTAATGCACTAAAAAATTTAGCATGAGCTTATTCTAAAGCACTAATGCACTAAAAAATTTAGCATAAGCTTATTCTAAAGCACTAATGCACTAAAAAATTTAGCATGAGCGAATTCTAAAGCACTAATGCACTAAAAAATTTAGCATGAGCGAATTCTAAAGCACTAATGCACTAAAAAATTTAGCATGAGCGAATTCTAAAGCACTAATGCACTAAAAAATTTAGCACGAGCGAATTCTAAAGCACTAATGCACTAAAAAATTTAGCATGAGCTAATTCTAAAGCACTAATGCACTAAAAAATTTAGCATGAGCGAATTCTAAAGCACTAACGCACTGAAAGTTTTAGCAAAAGATAATTCTAAAGCACTAAAATAACCCAGTCAACCCATGAACATTCTTGAACAGACAACATGAGTCACATGTTGCCATGTTGTTAAGCCTTATTGACATCCCACAGCTGTATTTGTGTTCATATATTGTCACCTAGTGGATAGGTGACACATATGAACAAAATGTGTGACAGCTTTCAACCTCAGCAGTTAATAATGTTGATCAATAATATTTATACATCTGTTAGTGCTTCTAAATTTAGCAAGTGCTAATCCACTAATAAAATTTAAAATTAGCAAAAGCCATACAGCACTAATCAGGAAATTAGTTCCCCTGTTAGTGCTTTAGGGGAACTGTGCCCACCACAGATTGGTTTCAATCTGATTGATTTTCCCCCTAAAGACTAAAGGCTGATAAAAGTTTATGGAAGAGTTAAAAATGATGAATTTAAAGCTAAAGAGGCCCGAGAGCCGCACGTTCAAGACCACAAACTTTCCCGCTTTAGTTTCAGAAAATCCTCAAGAAGCCAGAAATTTATCTGAAAACTTTATTATTTAGCAAAAGTAACTCTCTGGTGCAGCTTTATATTCGACACGTCTGTAACACTTCTCACAAACAAAAAAAAAAAAATCTTCGTTAGTAACTGATCGCCGCAGCACCGCTCCGGACCCGACCCGGCCCAGAGAAACCCAAAGCTGGGAACCGAAACTCGTCAGTCGTTCCAGAAATAAAAGATGTTTTCTCTCAGAGAATATTAGTGCGCCTCAGTGACTAACTCACTTTAAAGTCTTAAACTCCTGGGAGTTGTTAAACAGCTACGACCTGCGACAGCAGCTGGACGTACCGTTTCACATAAATCTGGACTGAATAAGTGCTTCTTCATATCATAGATATGATAACAAAATAACTACGTGTGCAGATTTGATCAAAGTGTTACAGGAAGAGGAAGAGGAGTAGAAAAGTGAGAGGTTCTGGTCCAAAGCGTGGAGCGGGTCGGGGGTTCTGTCAGAGGGGGGTGACGAAGTAGTCGGGGGGTCTCTGGTAGGCGTGTGCTTGTTGTTGGTTGTGYGTCTGCAGCTGCTCCTGCTGCTGCTGGATGATCATGCGGACCTCCTCCTCCAGCTCCGGGGGGATGATCAGCTGGTCGTCGGGGTCCGGCTGGGCGGGGGCGTTGAAGTAGCCCCCCTGCTTCCTGACGGGGGCGTCGCCGGCCTCCTCGATCACGTCCTGGTTCCGGCCCTGGCGGGCCACGGAGCCGTTGGCTCGAGCCCGGCGGCCCAGCGTCCCCGCCTGGGCGTCAGGGGAAGGGGGCGGGGCTGGGGAGGGGGGCGGTGGCGAGCGGGGGGGCTCGGCGGCGGCGGCGGCGTGGGCGCAGTCGTGGCGGCGCAGGCAGTGCACGTCGGCCTCCACCTCCACACGGCTGCCGTTGGAGAAGACGCCGGCGATGGGCTCCTCGTCCTCGCTGTCCAGACCGTTGTCGGACAGCGCCCCGGAGAACTGCCGCTGGAAGACCCCCCCGCCGCCGCGGGCGGGTCTCCGCGCTCCGCACCGGACCTGTGCGCCGGGCTCGGTTTGGGGCGGCGGGTCCTCGGAGGACGCCGTGGACCCCACCTCGCTGCTCATCTCCGACGTGCTGAACTCGCTGCTCAGCTCGCTGGCGGTGCCGGAGGAGGCGGGGGGCAGCGAGAGCCCTCCCTCGCCGCCCGGCGGGTACGCGGCGGGCGGAGCCCCGGGGCTGGGCGGAGGGGGCGGGGCCTCGCAGCAGCAGCAGTCCTCGGTGACGCTGAGCTGCGTCACAACGGCGCAGAGGCTGTCGGCGCAGCCGTAGCTCTGAGCTAACGTCACCAGCTTCTTGGCGGCGGCGACCGCGTCCGGGACGGTCCGGACCGCCTCCACGGCCTCGGCGGGGGACAGCACCTCCCACAGACCCCGGCTGCCCAGGAGGAAGAACTCGTCCTGAGGGGTGAGCGTCACCGTGGACACGTGGGGGCGGGGCGTCACCGAGGGGCAGAGGAAGGAGTAACCCATCATCCTGGTGGAGTCCGTCACTCCGCTGACTTTATTATCCTGAAAAAACACAAAAAACATTTAAAATCATCACATTTTAAAAGTTTTCTCCCACGGTCGCATTCAGGTTTGATGTTTCTACATATTTATTCGTCAGAGACGTTTGTTTTCTGGACTGTTAGTAAAATATCTTAAACAGTTTCTTCTTTCATCTGTTCCCTTTTCAGAGGTCACCACGAGTCATCCTCAACCACCTCCATGTTTTCTCTTAAAGGGATCCCCGATTAGTTCTAACATCAGACTATTTGTTAAACATTTCTTTTAACTGTAAAATAAAGACCTTAAAAATACTGTAGGCTGTTTAGTTTTTATAATTTTTAAAAATATATTTCAACACGGACGCAGCCATTTTATTTCCACACAAAGCATTCTGGGTAAATGATGACGTGGATAGGTCCTCGGTGCGAGGCTGCTAGCGAGCTATATCCACCCTGAAGGTTAATCTTGGACAATATCTGATGATCGACTCTTTTAAATGAAACCAGAGAGCGTTGACRGAGAGGAGAAGGTAGAAATGACTCAGCCTGGAACTGAAAATATGGATTAAAAGTCATAAGATCGATTTTTCCCCCATGGGTGTTGTGTGCGATGAAACTGATGTTTCCATGTTGTGTGTCACTTCTGGCTTGCCATATTTTTACATCCGGTTAACGTTTAGCGCTAACGTTAGCTCCCGACAACAACTTGTCTGGATCAACACAAAAGAAACTAAAGAATCATTAACATGACAGCTGATTCTCAGCAGAAATTAAAGACAGAGACTGTGAGAACTGTTGTTTGTAAACATCTGACTGAAACTGTTCTCTTTTATAAATGTGTGAAAGATCTCAGTCTAACAAATTCATTTAGTTTTGTTACCAATGTTATTTAAAAATTTAAGAAACATCTTAATGTAATTCACAGTGATGGAATGTTTTAGCTTAAGTACTTTTTTCCTTTCTTCTTGTTAATAAGTTTTATTGAACAGAAACATTACAAATATACAGTTTTCGTACTCTCAAAAGGAGTGGGCAGAAGTAAACACTTATATTATCCCAGCTCTTCTCCTGTAACTTTATTCCACCACTTCTTAATGATGAAGAAAATTATTCTTAGTTTCTTAAAAAACTAATGTATCCAACAACACTTTCTCTTGCAATTCCTTTTTAGTTTAAACCCTTTGAAACTTGAGACAGTTTTGTTTCCAGATCAACGCACTGTTAGAATTAGTTTCTACTGTTTACAGCATTAGTTCCTTTGAGAATGTCTTCTGTATCAAAGTAAATGTGTCGCTGCGTGATATCCTTAATTTAAAAATCAATCGAACTGAATCATGAATCGTGAATCGTTGTGAATCGTGAGTAGTGAATCATCGTGAATCGTTGTGAATCGTGAGTAGTGAATCATGAGTCGTGAATCGTCGTGAGTAGTGAATCGTTGTGAGTCGTCGTGAGTCGTGAATCGTTGTGAGTCGTCGTGAGTCGTGAATCGTTGTTAGTCGTGAATCGTCGTGAGTCGTGAATCGTCGTGAGTCGTGAATCGTCGTGAGTCGTGAATCCTCGTGAATCGTGAATCATCATGAATCATCGTGAGTCGTGAATCGTGAGTAGTGAATCGTTGTGAGTCGTGAATCTTTGTGAGTCGTGAATCATGAGTCGTGAATCATTGTGAGTAGTGAATCATTGTGAGTCGTGAATTGTTATGAATCATGAGTCGTGAATCATTGTGAGTAGTGAATCATTGTGAGTTGTGAATTGTTATGAATCATGAATCGTTGTGAAATCTGAACCGATCCCCAGCCCTGGTCCAAACCAACACCACCCACTGTTTATGAGGAGCTCTCTCCGGCGCTGCAGCTCACCTCGGTGATGATGGCGTTATGGCGTCGGACCCTCTGGTACTCCGCCTCCTCTCTGACGGTGTGAACCTCGGASAGCAGCAGAGCCTTCCCGCCTCGGCACAGCACGGCCTGGCACCGCCCCACGTTGGCGGCCTTCAGYGTGAAGCAGCCGCCGTGCTCGCCGGGCGCCACCGGGTCGTGCCTGATGTGGCACAGCGCCGCCGAGCCGCCCATCCTTTGACCTGCCGTRCCCAGTTTCCTTCAGAGGAGCAGCGGGGACAGGACGTTAAACCGCGGCGGCGGCGGCATTGGGAGGAGGACTCACGGTGAAGTGGGCGTTTACCTCTGCATGGTCAGGAAGGTGTTGGTCATGTAGTCCTCCTGCCTCTGGCCTCGGTGAAGCTCCTCYGCCAGCACGTCTCCCATGGTGCACTGCAGCAGGTAAGGCACCTCCACGTTGCGRTCCCCGTCGAACACGCCGTACAGGGCCTCGCGCGTCCCACAGAAGCTGTCCTGAGCCAGAGCCGCCACGCACAGCCTGAGGGCGGCGAGGCACAAAACAAAACACCCCTCAGAAAAACAAACGCTGACTTAGCAGTTCTACCGTAAACACAAAACTAGACCCACTTGTTTTTGACTCCAGAGGCCTCGGTGAAGCCGTGGCTCCAGACCGCGGGGACTCCCTGACCGTCGCTCGCACCCGGAGCCGAAGGAGACGGGTCCACCCTGAAGCAGCGGATGTTGCTGCGGGAAAGAAAACAAAGATCAGACGGCCGGACAGGAAGGTTTCGGCTCAGCTCTGTTTACATTTTGCTGGTCCTACTTGAGGAGCTCCAGGCTCTTGTGGTCCAGGTTGAGTCGAGGGTTTCCTGTGAGGTCCAACTCCTGGAGCTTTGCAGGAAGCGCCTCCGGCAGGGTGACCTCGGTCAGCTCGTTGCAGCTCAGGTCCACACTCTGACGACAGAGGAGTGAGAGCYGAGAGTTAGGTCTGGACATGTCTGACGCCAAACATTAAACCATTTAGCTTGATGCTAACTTTTAGCCACATTTAACTTTTAGACAGCCTTTTAACAGATTTTAGCTAGGCTTTCWTTAGATTACACAACAATTTTAGCTAATATTAACTTTCAGCCATTCTTTTAGGTGTTGCAACGTTTGCTTCATTTAATCTGAATCCAGCTTTAAGCCAGGCATTCACAACTTCTTGATTTAAGCTACTTATTTAGCTACTTTCAGTTAATAATCTGCAACTTTTAGCTAATAGTTGTCTTACTTTTAGATTTTAGCTAACATATTGCTTCTTTAAAATGTTAAGTTTTACATATTTTAGCTTTTGTATATTTACTATTTTTAGCCTTTTAGCTACAATTAGCCATAGCAAGGCTTTCATTATTTTAGTTACTTAACTTTTAGTTTGTTGCTAACCTAATGCTACGTTTAACATTTAACATCTTTGTACTTTAACCCATTACTTAGCTAATTGCTACATTTAGCTTTTAGCTTGGCTTCTACTACAATTAATGTTAGCAAGGCTGTTGCTACATTTAACTTTAGCTAGCTTTTAGCTACATTTAGCATTAAGGTAGCTTTTAACTAGCTTTTATTATTTTAGTTAGCTGATAGCCTCTTGCTACATTTAGCTTTTAGCTTGGCTTCTACTACAATTAATGTTAGCAAGGCTGTTGCTACATTTAACTTTAGCTAGCCTTTAGCTGCATTTAACATTAAGGTAGCTTTTAACTAGCTTTTATTATTTTAGTTAGCTGATAGCCTCTTGCTACTTTTAGCTTGTTGCAAGCCTATTGCTATTTTAAATGTTTAGCTAGCATCTTCTTACTTTTAGACATTATGTAGCTAGTTGCTACGTTTTAATGTTGTACATTGTGTAYATTTTTAACTGTATTCTGACTGTATTTTGACTATGTCCTGTTGTGTCTGTCCATTGTGCAGCATTTTGGTTGGCTTGTGCCGTTTAAAGTGCTTTATAAATAAAAGTTTTATGGTTTGCTACATTTAGCAACTAGCTACAATTAGCATCGCTTTATTTAGCTTCTAGAAAGGCTTTCAAAACTATTGCTTTTAGATATTTTTTGCTACATTTAGTTAGCATTCTGTTACTTTTAGCTAGCATTTTGATTGTTTGGTCTCGTTTCACGTTTTAACTTCTATTTTACTTTTCTTTTTTCAGGTTTTAGCCGGTGTTCTGCTTGTTTTAGCTTCAGCTGTGGTTTTCCTCAGGTGTTGTGTTCTCTTTGAGGCACCTTGATGTCGGGCAGCTGCAGGACTTCGGGGAAGGTGCTGATGCAGTTGGAGTGGGCGGAGAGCGTGTGCAGCCGCTGGCAGCTGAGGATGGTGGTCGGCACGGCTCTCAGTCGGTTCCCGCTCAGGTCCAGCTCCTCCAGCTGCTCCAGCTGGGCCAGTTTACTGCGCAGAAACTCAGAGTTGGTCTGGGAGCGAGGAGATTTACCCTCRCTGCAGCGATTAGAGCTTTACCTGGCAGTGAAAGTCTGCAGCTGGTTGTAGGCGACGTGGAGCACCCTGAGGCCGCYGTGTCCCGTCAGCAGGGGCACGCACTTATCGCTCAGGCTGTTGTTGGTCACGTAGAGTTCCTCCAGGCTGCTGACGGCTTCCTCCGACAGGCCGGCTGCAGGGAGCTCCTCCAGCTTGTTGGCCGACACGTTCAGGTAGCGTAAGCTGCGACGAAACCCGGGCCGTGAGAAAAAAAACAGCTGAAGTGAAGAAGATTAGATAAAAGAAGGGAACGCACCTCTGTGCTTTGATGAACAGGTTGTGCGGGAGCTCCGTCAGGTGGTTGTGCTGGAGGTCCAGGACTTCCAGCTGGGATCTCTCCAGCCTCTCGCTCAGGCAGCACAGATCGTTCCAGCCCGCCAGCAGCTTCCTGAGGCTCCCGCTGGACACCAGCCTGAAACAAAAACACAAACACCCCCCATGACTCGAACGAGGCTCAAACAGGTCAACAAGTGTGGATTTATTCATTTATGATGGACCTGAGGACGGCGAGGTGCTCCACACTGAGCTGAAACTACGTTTGATGTTCATGCAGACAAAATTAGGATAAATTATTATATTCGTGATGAAGCCCTGTTTTTAGTGGGAGGGGCTTATGTTGTTTGTTTTAGYGCCTCTCATCACTAGGGTTAAGATTAATAATTGGCACTTGGCGATCACTGCGGTTTGTGAATTATACAAGTCATTGCAGCGCAGAGCTAATGCTAATGTGGAACTAATGCTAACATGGAGCTAACATTTATGCATAGCGAACGCTAAAGCTAACATGAAGCTAACACAAACGCAGAGCTAATGCTGTACTAACTAATGCTAAAATAGAGTTAACACTAACATGCCAACATGAAGTTACACTGACATGGAGCAATCGCTAATGCTTATATGATGCTAACAATAACACAGAGCTAATGCAAATGTAAAGCTATCACCAACAAAAAGCTTATGCTAACTTGAAGTTACACTAACGTGGAGCAAACACTAATGTGGCTCTGGTACTGATGCAAAACTAATGCTAATGTGGAGCTATCGGTAACATAAAGCTAATGCCAATGTGGCGTAAATGCCAATGCTAACGTGGATTTAACATTAACACAGAGCTAATGCTGAGCTAATGCTTAAGTAGAGCCAACACTAACACAGAGCTAATGCCAACATAAAGTTACACTAACATGGAGCAATCGCTAACGTTAATGTGATGCTAACACTAACACAGAGCTAATGCTAACATGAAGTTACACTGACACGGAGCACTCGCTAATGCAAATTAGATGCCAACACTAATGTAGAGCTAATGCTAATGTAGAGCTATCACCAAAACAAAGATACGGCTAACATGAACTTACACTGACATGGAGCAAAAGCTAATACTAATGTGATGCCTACACTAACGCATTGCTAATGCTGCTTTAATGMTAACRWAGAGCWATCACCARYACAAAGCTAAWGCTAACTTGAARTTACACTGACATGGAGAAAACTAATGCTAATGCGGAGCTATCACTAACAGAGCTAATGCCAATGTGGAGTAAATGCCAATGCTAAAGTGGCTCTAACACTAACACAGAGCTATTGCTKAGCTAATGCTGAAGTAGAGCCCACACTAAAACAGAGCTAATGCTAACATAACATGAAGTTACAATAACATGGAGAAATCGCTAATGCTAATGTGATGCTAACACTAACACAGAGCAAATGCTAATGTGATGTTAACACTAACACAGAGCTAATGCTAACATGAAGTTACACTAACATGAAGCTAAAGCTAATGGTGACCCTAACACTAACGCTAACGTTGCTCTGACTCCAACACAAAACTAATGCTTACGCTGAAGCGCAGTTATAAACCAGAGTACGACCAAAGCCAGAAAAAACAGACTCCAAAATATTTACTCAGCTGATAATCCAGGATGCTCCTAATCAATCAGTCAGTTACAAGAGACAAAATAAGAGCTGGAAGAAGGTAATGTGAGGTTGTTAAAACGAAGTTGGTGTTACTGATGACTTAATTTTGGAACACCAACTGATTTAACCGTTATATTAATCGATACTGGTTAAATACCAGAATGAATGGGGAATGATTATTTTACTCACCACACAGGCAGCTCTGTGACACAGTTACGGTTGATGTCCAACACCTCCAGCCTGCTGCTCTCACACAACCAGTCTGGGACTCGATCCAGTTTGTTCCTTTAAAAAAAAAAAACACGGTCAGCGAGCGGCTTTAAAATAACACATCTTGTTATTGTCGTAAACAAGAAAAGCAAAGCGTCAGTTGTTTTCACACCTGGACAGATCCACAACAGTCAGGTTCTCCGGYGCAGGCTGCACCTCCAGCTGCCTCAGCTCTGAAAGCACAAACATGAAGAATGAGGGCGGGGTCTCAGGCGACGCTTGTTTAAAGCCTCTGCGGCGCCTCGGTACCGTTCTGCGCGGCGTGCAGGCTCTTGAGGGCGTGGCCAGCGACTCTGAGGAGCGACAGAGAGTTTCTGTCRCAGCGGAGCTGCTCCAGCTTACACAAGCACCGGACGTCCAGCTCCTGCAGACCCGCGTCCCTCAGGTCCAGCTGCACGATGTGGACCAGCTGCTCAGGCTCCGCCTCCACCACCTTCTGAAGCCGGTTCAGCCTGACGGAGAAAATACGTTATCCCTGTTGCATCCTGGGAAATGTTTCTATCTACTGTGAGCATCTTTCACCTGAGGTCCACGGAGCGAGCGGGCAGCCACTGCAGCCCGAACAGATCCAGGACGGAGAGCTGGTTCCCCGCCAGACAGAGCTTCTCCACGCCTCGGAGCTTCTCCAGGACGGGGGGCAAGCAGCTGAAATGGTTGAAGGACAGGCCGAGGTAGGACAGCCCCTCCAGAGAGCTCAGCTCTGCGGGCAGAGAGGTCAGGAAGTTCCCGTCCAGGAGAAGAGTCTGCAGGCTGCAGGCAGACGCAGGACTTTTAACACATTCTCATTTTTTTAAAGAACAAAAAACATTTTTATGTGCAAAGAATCTCACGTATAAAAAGTTATCCTTTTGTAAAATAAAAACGCTTCAGTGTTAGAGTTGTGCAAAATCATATTGTGTGCATTTAATCGGTTACTGTGAATTATACAAAGCTAACACTAATGCTAATGTGGAGCTCACATTAATGCTTAAATAAAGCTAACACTAATGCGGAGCTAATGCTAATGCAAAGTTAATACTAACGCAAAGCTGACACTAATGCTAAAATTGAGCTTACACCAATGTGGAGCTAAAGAAGAGCTAACGCTAATGTGACACTAACAATGCTAAAATTGAGCTGACACTAATGTGGCGCTAACACGAATACGTAACGCAGAGTTAACAATGTGGAGCTAGTGCTATAATGTGGCGCTAACACAATTGCACTAAACAAATGCTTAAATGGAGCTAACACTAATGTGGAGCTAACACAGAGCTAAGACTAAGGCTGAAAAGGAGCTAAAGCTAATGTGGAGCCAACACTGACATGGAGCTAACACTAAAGCAGAGCTAATGCTAATGTGAAGCTAATACTAACACGGAGCTAAGACTAATGCTGAAAAGGAGCTAATACTAACATTGAGCTAACACTAATGTGGAGTTAATGCAAAGCTAACGCTAATGTGGAGCCTACCCCGACATGGAGCTAACACTAACGTGGAGATAATGCTAATGTGAAGCTAACACAGAGCTAAGACTAATACTGAAAAGGAACGATTGCTAACGTGGAGTTAACGCAAAGCTAACGCTAATGCTTATGTGGAGCCAACACTAAGACGGAGCTAACACTAAAGCTGAGCTAATGCAAAGCTAATGTTAATGCTAATGTGATGCTAACACTAACACAGAGCTAATGCTAATGTGAAGCTAACACTAATCCTGATGTTACAAACTTGTGTAATCACCAGAGACATTGAGCTAAGCCTTACATTTTTTAATTCTTTGGAACATGCTGGTGTTTCAGCGAGCCTCTTCATCGTGACTAACTGATCTCTGAACCAAACATCTCCATCGTCTCCTGAGTCATTGTCTTATTTTCTTTATCCTATTTATTCCTGCTTCTACAGGACATAAGTGTCCAGGTTTATTTCAGGTTCCTTCGTGCTGACAGGTTCTGATGTTAAAAACAACCGTCATGTCTGAAACTAAGACGTCTGCGACTGAGCCGTTGGGACGAAGCCCAGYGTGACTCTGCTCTGAGGGAACCTGGCCAGGATCCCTGCATCGTCAGGACTCATGACCGACACAGAGCYTGTTTGTTTCACACGGGGAGGCAATAATCTGCACCGACGTCTCCGTCACTCACTTGTGCATCGACGCCATCTCTGCCGGCAGACAGGAGAGGCGGTTTCCAGAGAGGTTGAGCTCTGTGAGYGAGGTGATGTCACAAAAAGCAGGAGGGAACTCGCACAGAGCGTTGTTGGACAAACTCAGGCTCTTCAGCTTACAAAACCTAGAGAGAGAGAGGGAGAGAGGCTCAGTGTGAGTGAAGGGAGACAAAGAGCAACACTCTTATGTCAGGATGAAGGAGGTTCTTCAGATCCACAGGAAAAACTCTCAGGACAGCCCATCCACGGGAAGCACTGTGTTTACCCAGAAACAATGGCAGAAAGTAACAAACCAACTTCCATGAAGCCGAGCGACGTTTCACCAGAATCTCCTGCTAACCGAACCCTGAAGGTTTTTTTTGTTTTGTTTTTTTGACTCTGCAGCTGTGAACACAAACCGTAAGACGACACCCGAGGCTCGCCGTAGGAAACGAGTCAAGTCCAAACAGAAYGAGATGATTTCTGAGTAAACGCCACGTTAGAAACTCAAACACGCATCTTCTAACATGAATTCAATGATCTGGAGTTTAAAATGCAGGTACGCACTGAACGTAAACAAAACACTTTTATCCTAAACGACTAGGGTTGTGTATTGGCAAGAATTTGGCGATACGATACATATCATGACAGAGGGGTCAAGATATATTGTGATACTGTAAGCAAGGCAATAATATATAGCGACAATTTAAAAAAATTGTATTAAATAAAAAACTCAGCATGTTTTGTATGTATTTTATTTGTTTCGTATTTCATCCATGTTTTCTATTGTTAGACTAAATTTGCCAATAAAAAGTTTGAAAATATATTTGTGACTATCTGTGCATGATGCTAATGTTTACTCATAATGCTAATGCTACCCTTACTCTCTGGCTCCTCATGAGTAGAGGAGCCAAATGGCTGGCTCACTGCTGCCAACTAGCGGTCAGAGGTTGAACTACAACACAAAAATGAAACGTTGGCAGGAAAGTTGATGTTTTAAACCTTAATTAAAAATCGATACAGGGCTTTAGAGAATTAATACCGTATCGAGAAACGTAATATCAAAATATTTCAGTGTATCGATATTTTCTTACACCCCTAAAAACGACTAGACGAGTTAAAGCGTTAGATCCTCAGGACTGACGGGATTTTTAACTTTTCTGTTTCCTTTTATTTAATAACAAATCATACAAATAATAATAATTTAACCACCTCTGTAACCATCGTAAAGGAAAAAAGGAGTTTGGTCACACGCAAAACGGCGTTCAAACACGCCAACGTTAAACTCCACAGGTATTTTTTTTGTTGTTAGCTTACCTTGTTCAGCTGCATTGTTATGACCCCCTCTTCATATTTTAGATGCCTCATTTCAGTGTAAAAGCATCCTAAATCAATAATTAATTTCAGATTAACCCTATGATGGTGGACCGGTCCAGCAAGCTAGAGCTCTATCGCTCGAACGTGACGACAATTTTTTATTTTTTTAACACTTTATTTTCTTTTTTCAAACATAGAACYATCTAAAAGTTGGTGTAGCTATGATACAAACTTAAGTGTGAGGAGCTTAAAGAAAAGGGGAAATTTTTAAAAATATATATAATTAAAGAAAAGAAATAAATACATAAAAATAAAGCTACTAGAGATTTTTGCCAGTTGAATTTAAGTTCTACTTTATGGAGGTCAGACCGTAGATCACTGGGCAGAAAGTCCATCAGCGCTGCCAGAGGAAAGTTTTCTGTATTGTCACTTAATTTTGCACTTAAGACTTTCCATTGGAATAATTCTAAATATTTCCCTGTACCACTGAGTTATGGTGCGTTCACACCGAACGTGATTTCAGCGTCAGGAGCAGCAGGTTTACATGCAAAGTCTATGGTGGACGCGCTTCAAGCAAAGTCGGGAAGTTCTGCAGCGCCTCAAGCGCGATTAGAGCAGCACGATTTGAACGATTTGAACGATTTGAACGATCTGAGCGTTCGACGTGCTGAGGCACAAATCGCAGAAGTTAGAAAATCT